TCTTCTCCAAGGGGTGTGTTATTAGCAGGAGTTGAGTTTGAGAATGAAATAAATGACTTCAGAGGATCTCCACTTTATTAAGTTGTAATTTGGAGCAAGGTGCGGCTTGGGGGCCACATCCCGCAGTGACCAGGGCTACTCCTAGCTCTGGGCTCAGAACTCTCTCCTGGTGGTGCTAGGGCAACGGTGCAGTGTCAGTAATGGAAACGTCTGGGCTCCTGCATTGCAAGGCATGTGCCCTGCCCACTGAGTGATCGCCATGCCCCTGAGTGGTAACTTAGAGATGGAAAACCTCAGGCTTTTGAGTTTGGGCAGATGAAATGATTTCTGTTGCAGTTTCTAGAGCTGGCAGTGAGCATATGAAAGCTGAACAGAGAGAGAGAGAGAGAGAGAAGAGAGAGAGAGAGGAGGGGGGGAGAGGGAGAGGGAGGGAGAGACGGAGGGAGAGAGTGGAAGAGAGGGAGGAAAAGAGCGGGAGAAAGATGGAGAGAGATGAAGAGAGAGAGGGAGGAAGAGAGGGAGAGAGAGGGAGGAGGAGGGAGAAGGAGAGGAAGGGAGGGAGAGGAAGAGAGAGATGGCAAGAGAGAGAGAGGGAGGGGGAGGAAGAAAGAGATGGAGGGAGAGTGAGAGAGGGAGAAAGAGAGGGAGAGTGACAGAAGGAGAGTGAGACTAAGAATCTGGAAAGATTAAAACCTAGCTTCTTTATTTCTGTTCTTGCTTTTTGTTTGGGGGTCACCCCTAGTGGTGTTCAGGGCTGACTTCAGGCTCTACACTCAGGGATCTCTCCTGCCAGGGCTCAGAGAACCATGCGGAGTGCCTGAGATTGAGACCAGGTTGGTTGTGTGCAAGGCAAGTGACTTACCTGCTGTGCTATCTCTCTGGTCCCCAAAACCTAGCTACTTAAACTGTGGTACGCAGTCCCACCTGCAGTCCATAACTGAATGTGGGGGTCATGAAAAATCTGACCATGGTGAGAGGTGTCTGAGCACTCCAACAACCAAACATGAGCTAAAAATCAACCGTGTGATGAAGCCAAGATGCTTCTGGTGGCACTCATGGGAATTGCATCTCTTGGGCAAAAAGGAGTGGTGGGTGGAAAGAGGTTTCGGAAACTGTGGTCTAAAGAAAGCACAAGTTTCTGGATGTCCTGGGCAAAGTCACAAATCCAAAAGGTGGCAAGATTTCCAGCAGGGAGAACCAGAACCCTTTGCTGACTCTCCCAAACCAGCCCTGAAATTTGGGGAAATGCATCGGGTCTTTTTGGGGGTTCCTTTATTCTGCAGCTGTATCAAGAGAACATGGGATTAGCATTTTGATTCCCCCAGACATCTCAAATTCTTGGTTCTGCAATGGAAACACCAGTCGCTTAGCGTGCAGTTGCCCCAGGGTTGGGAGACTCAGACAAACAGCTCCAGACGTTAAAGAAACACATGGAAAGGCCGTGAGCCCTTGGACGGGGCTCACGCGGCCCCCAAGCTCGGCCTTCCGTGGTTTTGCTCACCAAGCGCAGCTGGCAGGGGAACAGCGCCATGCCATCTAGCGGAGTTCAGGAGGCTAAAGAAACACGTGTGGAGGCGATGCAAGGGGCCTCAGTCCTGCAGGACAAAGTGGCCATTGTCTTCAGTCCCAGCCTCTCCGTTTGTCCCATCCGCACAGAGTCCAAAGAGAAACTCCCAGCTTTCAGCGTATGGCTGCTAAACCAGCCTTCCGTCACATTATCCTGAGCTTCCTCCACCACACACACACACACACACACACACACACACACACACACACAAACACACACACACGATCACTCTCTGGCAGTACCCGTTGACCACACACACACACACACACACACACACACACATACACACGCAAGCCCTCTCTGGCAGTACCCGCTGACCACACACACACACACACACACACACACACACACACGCAAGCCCTCTCTGGCAGTACCCATTGACCACACACACACACACACACACACACACACACACACACACGCAAGCCCTCTCTGGCAGTACCCATTGACCACATACACACACACACACACACATACACACGCAAGCCCTCTCTGGCAGTACCCGCTGACCACACACACACACACACACACACACACACACACATACACATGCAAGCCCTCTCTGGCAGTACTCGTTGACCACACACACACACACACACACAAATACACACGCAAACCCTCTCTGGCAGTACCCATTGACCACACACACACACACACACACACACGCACACACATACACACGCAAGCCCTCTCTGGCAGTACCCATTGACCACACACACACACACACACACACACACACACACACACACACGCTAGCCCTCTCTGGCAGTACCCATTGACCACACACACACACACACACACACACACACGCTAGCCCTCTCTGGCAGTACCCATTGACCACACACACACACACACGCAATCCCTCTCTGGTAGTACCCATTGACCACACATACACACACACACACACACACACACACAAGCCCTCTCTGGCAGTACCCGTTGACCACACACATACACACACACACACACACACACACACACCCCTTCTCTAGCAGTACCCATTGACCCCTCTTGTCCTGGGACTCAAGGGAAAGGTGAACCCTGGGCTTGGTTTGCTAAGCTTGTGCTCCTGGCAGCTGGAGAGTGAGTCTGGAGACCCTGTTCCACATGCAGACACCCAGGACAGAGAGCCCCCAATAGGCCGACTATGCTTGGCATGCGGGAGGCCCCAACTTCAACCCCTGGCAGTACATGATTCTCTAACATCCCACCAGAAGTACCCCCAGCACCTCCAGGCGTGATCCTCAAATAATGCAAAAAAATAAATAAATAATCCACAAAGAACAATAACACTGTAGCACTGTCCTCCCGTTGTTCATCGATTTGCTCGAGCGGGCACCAGTAATGTCTCACAACAAATTGTGAGACTTGTTGTCACTGATTTTGGCATATTACAAACGTCGTGGGGGAGCTTGCCAGGCTTTTTCATGTGGGCGAGATACTCTTGGTAGCTTGCTGGGCTCTCCGAGAGGGGCAGAGGAATCGAACCTGGGTTCGCCATGTCTGCTGCATGCAAGGCAAATGCCTTACCCACAAAGAACAATGAACACTTTTATTTTATTTTGTCTTTTGGGATTGCACCCAGCGATGCACAGGGCTTATTCCTGGCTCAGCACTCAGGAATTACTCCTGGCGGTGCTCAGGGGACCATATGGGATGCCGGGGATCGAACATGGGTCAGCCACATGCAAGGCAAACGCCCTACCCCGCTGTACTATAGCTCCAGCCCCGTTTTGACTCTGTCACCAAGTGGTCTGGCCCATGGGGCGCCTCGGTGATCTCTGTCTCTCCTGGGAAGAGGCGGGGAGGGCAGGGCAGTGTGGACGTCATATCAAAAGGAAACTTGATTTCCTGGGTAATCACTTGCTCTGTGCGCGGCGGAGACGGCGCGAAGGGCTGAACACATTCCTGGCAGGCAGAGGCTTAGCTCTTGGCACTATTGGGACCCAGAGCACCACGGGGTCTCTTGGTGGTCCCTGGGATGGCGTGACCCCCACACCACTGGCCAAGAACCCCCAGAAGTGGCCCTCAGGTCCCCTAAAATACCGTTTGGGAGACTGCTCTGAATTTGCTTCTTCCCAGAGATGGCTCACCCTGAAGTAGCCAGGAAGAGATTATTGTTGTTTTCTCACCATCTGGGACCCTGCGTTAGTTACTGCTCCTCTCTGTTGGCAACAGCTTTATTCACAGAGACCCGCTGAATTTCGAGTGGCATAGAAGGGCCTGTGAACCTCAGGATTTAGATAGGAACTTAAAGCTCCGCCACTCTCTCTTTCCTTCTCTCTCTCTCTCTCTCTCTCTCTCTCTCTCTCTCTCTCTCTCTCTCTCTTTTGCTTTTTGGGTCACACCCAGTGATGCTCAGGGGTTACTCCTGGGCTCTGCACTCTCTCTCTCTCTCTCTCTCTCTCTCTCTCTCTCTCTCTCTCTCTTGCTTTTTGGATCACACCCAGTGATGCTCAGGGGTTACTCCTGGCTCTGCACTCAGGAATTACTCCTGGTGGTGCTCGGGGAACCATATGGGATGCTGGGAATCGAACTCGTGTCAGCCACGTTGACTGCGTGCAAGGCAAACGCCCTACCCGCTGTGCTTAGCTCCAGCCCCTCTCTTTCTTTCTTTCCTTCTCTTTGTTCTCTTTTTCTTTTTCTTTACTTCTTCCCTTCCCTCTCCTTCCTTTCCTTCTTTCATTTGTTTCTTTCGCCTTCCTTCTTCCCTCCTTCCCCTTTCTTCCTCCCTTTCCTCCTTCCTTCCTTTTCTACCTCCTTCCGTTCCTCCCTCCCTCCCTCCTTCCCTCCCTCCCTCCTTCCCTCCCTTCCTCCCTCCCTCCCTCCCTCCCTCCCTCCCTTCCTTCCTTCCTTCCTTCCTTCCTTCCTTCCTTCCTTCCTTCCTTCCTTTCCTTTCTTTCTCCCTCCCTCCTTCTTCCTTCCTTCCTTCCTTCCTTCCTTCCTTTCTTCCTTCCTTCCTTCCTTCCTCCCTTTCTTTGAGCTTCAGCTAGCAGGATCTTTGTTCAGGCCTTTAAGAACAAATTTAAAGAAATGCTTTTTAATCATCTGTGATGAAAATCTACAAATAAAAATGAAATGGCCCAAGTCAGGAGTGGATGAGAAAAAAAGAAAAACTGAATTTTAGAGGACTAACTTCTTTTTTTTTCTCTCTCTCTTTAATCTTCCCCTAGCTGACTCATCCCGAGACTTAGTTTCTACATTTGGAAGATGAGATCACTAACGTCTTCTTGATGCTCTTGCAAAGGCCAAGAGAGATAAAACACACATCAATCCCTTGTAGAAATTCCAAAGCCTGACCTGCTAGCAGGTTTTCCTGAGAGTCCTTGGACCTCAGGGTTCTACCTGGATGATGCAGTGATGACGAATGAAGTATTTTTCCTCCCCGAGAGGCCTGTGTGTCAAAGCCCTCCTGAAAGGCTGCTGGAAACTTTGATGGCGTTCCTTTACTGCCTGGAGTGTTGGCACTAGGAGTTTAGGAATTTAGGTCACCATAAATCCAACCTGATTGTCTTCACTCAGAGAATATTGGGATAATGGGATTATTTGCTCATTTTCTGAAATGTGCTGGATCAAACAATGTAAAAAAAATAAATAAAAGGCTGCTTGAACCTTTCAAAAACATGTGCAAGTGAAAAGCAGCCTGACAGACGCCCTCAACTGACTGACATTTCAGCAAACTGACATTTCATCCTCTTCCCTCAGTCGCTGTCGGAGATCTTGCCTCATCATAGAGATCATAGTATTAATCATAAAAATAGCGCAGGGATACACTGGGATCCAAGATGGAAGTCCTAATGTCCTGGGGTGTGAAAAAAAAATCTGCTCCATTATCCAACCTCATCAGCTAAGCCTCAAGTCCCAGAGCTCAGACTGCCCTGGAGAATTCCAGAGTTTTGTGCTGTTCAGGCAGGGGATGGAGAAGCCGCAGGAGGCAGGACAGGGCCTCGGAGAGACGTAATCCTAAAGGGAGCTGCTCTGGTTTTGCTCTTTCGTCCGCCTGGGAGTCTCCCCCGGCCTGGTCCTCCTGAGACCCTGCAGAATCGGCCGCCTGCCTCCCCCGACTCTCCGCCTCTGCCCCTCTGCCGTCAAGTTCCTGCTGTCACTGCTCCTCCAAGTCAGCCAACACCTTACATCTGTTTTTCATTTGGCAAACGGAGGGTTGATATAACTTTCTCTTCACTCCTCCTTTGTTGTCTCTCTTTCTTTCTTTCTTTCTTTCTTTCTTTCTTTCTTTCTTTCTTTCTTTCTTTCTTTCTTTCTTTCCTTTCTCTTTCCTCCTTCTCCTCCTCTTTCTTCTTCCTCTTCCTCTTCTTCCTCTTCTCCTCCTCCTCCTTCCTCCTCCTCCCCCTCCTTCCTCCTCCTCCCCCTCCTTCCTCCTCCTCCTCCTCCTCCTCCTTCTTCTCCTCCTCCTTCTTCTCCTTCTTTTTCTCTTCTCCTTCTCCTCCTTCTCCTTCTTCTCTTTCTCCTCCTCCTGCCTCTCCTTCTCCTTCTCTTTCTCCTCCTCCCCCTCCTTCTTCTCTTTCTCCTCCTCCTCCTCCTCCTCCTCCTCCTTCTTCTTCTTCTTCTTCTTCTTCTTCTTCTTCTTCTTCTTCTTCTTCTTCTTCTTCTTCTTCTTCTTCTTCTTCTTCTTCTTCTCCTCCCTCTTCTCCTTCTTCTCCTTCTTTTTCTCTTCTTCTCCTCCTCCTTCTCCTTCTTCTCTTTCTTCTCCTCCTCCTGCCCCTCCTCCTTCTTCTCTTTCTCCTCCTCCTCCTTCTTTTTCTTCTACTTCTCTTCCTCCTCCTACTCCTCTTCCACCACCACCACCTCCTCCTCCTCCTCCTCCTCCTCCTTCTCCTTCTCCTCCTCCTCCTTCTCCTCCTCTTCACACCCGGAAATGCTTAAGGCTTGCTTCTGGCTTTATACTCAGGAATCACTCCTGAAAGGGCTCAAGGAACCATATTGGATGCTGGGGGCTGAACTTGGCTTGGCCAAGGCAAGTACCCTATCCACTGCACTGTCTCTTCAATTCACATATTTTACCATTTTTATTCTATAATTTTAATTTAATTGGGATGTTATGAGGGGCTGGAGTGATAGCACAGCGGGTAGGGCATTTTCCTTGCACACAGCCGAACCTGAGTTTGATTCTTCTGCCCCTCTCAGAGAGTCCGGCTAGAGTATCTCACTACCTAGAGTATCTCGCCTGCATGGCAAAGCCTGGCAAGCTCACCATGATGTATTCGATATGCCAAACACAGCAATAAGTCTCACAATGTTACTGGGCCCGTTTGAGCAAATCGATGAACAATGGGAGGACAGTGACAGTGACAGGGATGTTATGAATCAATGAAGATTAATATGGTCATTCAATCACTTTTAACTGCAAGCAATAAAATATCGAGGTGTCCAATTACCACTCGCATATGCCCACCTAGGCTATTTAAGTGTATAAGTAAATATATGTGTTTAGAGACCAGAAATAAACATCATTCTATCTTAGGGGAAGGGAAGGCTGTGCTTTCTAACTTCCCATGCAGATTTCTAGGTCACATAACAAAGCTTAGATCAATATAACGAACATGAGGGTGCTCTATGCACTTCCAGCCTGTAGCCTGAACATTTAACTCTACTTTTCTGCCCACACGGGTTAGACTGTGGAAACTATGGTAGCAGCAGTTTCAAACTTGCAGCCAAGGACAGCATTCTAGATATAAGGTTTGCTCGGGACCATATGGCAACAGGCTGATGATAGCGACATTCCCAGAATCAAAGATCAACCTGGGCCCACCAGCATCACACGGAAGACAGGGCTTAGGGCTCATCCGGAGCCTGGTAGCCCCCAGACTACATTCCATGCTTACTTTTGCTTCTTTCTTGCCCGAGAAAACTTAAAAATCCCCTTAATCCAAAAAAGGCAACAGTAGACAATTTGTTTTCTATTGTTGGTTATGAATAACATATGATGTCGTGTGGCTGCAGTAGTGACTGCGATTTTGAAATTCTGAAATTTTAACAATTAACTCTGGAGGGATTTCTTGCCAAAAGCCACTGGGTTTCGAGATTTGTTCCTGAGTCTCTGGGATCATGGCCATTAAGCAGCTTGATCAGGAGCCAGAGAGGCTGTTCATGGGCAGCAACTTGGGGTCTCGTTGGGACAGGGAGGAAAGGGCCGGCTCCACTCCCATCCCATGAGACCCCGCATGTCTCATCACTGTGGGCCCAAACCTGACTGTCCAATGGCCTCTGGCGGATGGCTGCCACCAAGCCGCCAAGGGGGAGCAGGCAGAGGGACAGCACACTTTCCCCCTGGGGTGGCCTGGCAACAGTAACCTACTGTTGCCTTTTCAGCAGATCTGAGTGTTGGGGTAAAATCCCAAATAATAATGGTGAGTCTGGTGTCAAAATATTGAATGTAATCAAAGTAGAGAGAGAGTAATTTGGAAATCATCTGCCCCCCACACGTAGGGGGAAGGTGTGGGATGGGGTTATACTGGGGTTTTGGGGGGTGGAGAATGGGCACTGGTGAAGGTACGGGTGTTTCATTGTATGACCGAGACTTAAACCCAAAAGCTTTGTAACTGCTCACGGTGATTCAATAAATAAAATTATAAAAAATGAAAAAAAAAAACAAAGTAAGGTGGAGTTCATGCACAATTCAATCAGCCTAATCAGTGGCTGAATAAATAGTAGTACTCCTACATTTTAAAAAAAAAATCCCCTTAATCTCTCTCAGTGCACGGCTCTATCTAGCCTTGCCAGAGGCTGGTAGGGTCTGCCCTGGAGAGCAACCACATAAACTTCTCCTGTTTCTTCACTTTAATCATCTCTGTCCCTTGGTCTGCCCCAGGTGAGGTCAGCGACCTGTCCTTAGGTGATGATAGAATAGTAGATGGAAAAATGTGGGTCTTTGTATGGACACACTGACCATTCATCCTGTCCCATTCACCGCCACACTACCAAGAAAGTATTTTATCATTTAGGTAGGCCTGTGTATATTGAGTTCTCTTGGCTCTGAAGGCTTAGCTTAATTGCTAAGTCATCCTATTCTGTGGCTCCCCAAACAAGTCTAAGGTTAAGTGGCCAGGATAATTTAATAAACCGAATCCCAAACCTGACTTGTAGACTCTGGTTCAGTCAGTCTGAGATAATGTGCAGAAATCTGCTGTTTGTTTTGTTTTGAACTGCTTGATTGTCAAGAGAATGAATCCCTGACCTCGGCCAATTTCCTCTAAATATGTTCTTGACATTCTAATGGTTTCCTCATTTCTCATTCATTTTCTTTGAGTTTCCAGACTCTTCCGGAATCCTCATTTTAAATGCAAATTTTAATGTTATTGTAGTAGACATTTGTTTTGTCTTTCCAAAATGCATTCACCCTGATTAGTTTTGGGGGATGGGGGGCCCACTCATCCTCTAGCCCTTGTCCCTGTGCTTCAGACAAACAAGCCACCCTCACGCTCCCCATTGTTGGAGAGGTGGGTTGGGACCAACTTGGCTATACCCAGCCAGGCCAGTCAGCACTTTGTAGCCTCTTGATTACTGCAGTATTTCCAACAATGCATTTGTTCCTTTCTGGGAACAGAAGCTTCATAAACGTTGCTAGTGAGTTCAGGAGTGGACACGTGACCCAGGTCAATTCCGTGCGAACCTATAACTAAAGAAAAGACCAGCTCATTTTCTCCTGGGATGGTGACCTGCAGCTGGGGTGACCCTCTGACCCCCAGAAAGAACTTCTGAGAATAAAGTCAGCACAATGGAAAAAAAGGAGGAAAAATATTGCAAGATGTCATTTCAAGATTTGAATAACAATAGAATCCCTAGACTTTTCAGCTACAAGCTTTATACTTTTAGGGCAATGAGGGGTTAGAAATTAGAACACACAAGCCATGCTTAGGAGCAACTTGTGTCTCTGTGCTAAGTGGTCACTCCTGGGGAAGCTCAGGGGACCATAGTGGGTGCCAGGGATTAAACCCAGGTTGGCCGCATGCAAGGCAACACCTTACCCATCTCTGGCCTGATGTTCACACTCTTTAAAATTTTTTTAATTTAATTTCTTTTATAAAGTAGTTCACAATATTTGATTACATTTAATATTTGAACACCAGTCCCACCACCATGACATCTCCCCACCACCATATTTTGGGTGTTTCCATCCCAAACCCCAATCCCTGTTCCAAAGCAGAACAGAAATAATTTATTTTGTATTGGTTGCTATGCTGGAGCGATAGCATAGCAGGTAGGGCATTTTCCTTGCACGCTGCCGACCTGGTCAGCCCAGGTTCGATTCCTCCACCCCTCTCCGAGAGCCCGGCAAGCTAACAAGAGTATTTCGCCCGCACGGCAAAGCCTGGCAAGCTACCCGTGACGTATTCAGTATGCCAAACACAGTAACAACAAGTCTCACAATGGAGACGTTACTGGGCCCGCTCGAGCAAATTGATGAACAATGGGAGGACAGTGCAGTGTTTGCTATGAATAAACTGCTAAAAATGCTCCAAAAATCTTTCTTTAGAGGAGAGTGTGTGAAGATTGTTGTATTTCACCCAGGGGCCATTAAGCCCTTCTGTAAGAGATTACTATTATGTTATTAAGGGTTGAGC